TTTTTTTTTGAATCTGCAAAAATAACGCTTATTGTTAATTTAATTTAGTTTAGAAATAATGATTATTACTTGTTTAATAAATTTCAAATGAAATTTTTAGACGAGGAAAAGTTCGTTATCACGTTGTGTTAAAAACCATTGCTTGTAATAAACTATCAGATGCTTGTCTCTGTGCGGGAGACCTACCTTACTATTTTGGCCATTGGAGCAAATTTTGCGTTGATGTCGCGGCGGCGTCTCCAAGGATTTAGAAAACTCTGCGGACACGTGCGGGGGCAGACGACACTGTTACTGGAAGGTAAAGGACACAGTTTGACTTTTTATTTAGAAATTGAAGTCTTTATCTCCCGAACTATGGAAAATGTCAACTTTCATTTAATTTATTGCCAAGTTTCATTTACCGATCAAACCAGCGTCAATGGACATATTTACATCATAGTTCGTTTGAAATAGGTGATAAGAAATAAAAAAAAAATTAAAAATGTTTTTGAACTGATTACCATGAAAAGGCAAAGAAACAGTGATGATAACATGATTAATATGTTTTGGGTTATATAAAGTAAATTTAATACAAATGATAGATCTTATTATTGATATTATTTCGTTTACCTGCAGATCTGTTGACACGCTTGTAAGATTTGTGAGAGAATATCTTCTTCGCTCTGGGACAAGTCTTGTGTTGCCACGCAACTGTTGCTTAGCAGCGTGCCGTAAATTGCCAAGGTTACTAAGACTGTGATTTGCAGATTCATTGCAGCTGTCTGAAAGGTATAACAGTAAGAAATCACAGGTGATCAAGCGAATTATTTCCATAAAATGTCGCTGATTGTGTTGAAGAAAAGTATGTCCCTTTTTACATGAGGACGCATCTGTTTAACAAGATTTTTTAGTGATTTACGTGACCCACACTTCGGTTATCAAGAGTAATGATCATCACCCAACCAAAGTATCAGAACTTTTCGTACCCCTACTGTTTTCACGATAGCACAGCTCAAAACTCAAGCTATCTTCTATGATTTCTCAAATTATCCGATCTCCAGTTTTTTTCAAAGAGCACAGACTGGTAGTGACGTCTGCGAGACCCGTGTGGACCAGAAGGGGGACGGTATTGTGGTGGTGCCATTTACTTAGTGCATTATCTCCGCCCCCACACTGTAGTACTTTTACTCCTGATACCAGTATCAAAAGTTTAGATGTGTTTGGACGGTGGAATCGTGTCCGTATTACGTTTAATCTCTAAGAATCACGACCAAGATGACGCCATAGGCCGTGTTCAGCAGCGTATTATGTAAACCTGTTCCTGAACTGAGAACAGGAAGTTGATGGATGGAGGGCACTCTCCCTCAGGGATATAAAACCAGTACTTCTAGAGGACAGACACGAGTAGTAGAATACGACATACCCTTTCTAGTGTGTTCAAATATTGCAATCAAAGCGGCTAGTCTTAAAACTGTTTTGGTTACAACTGAGCTGGACGCGTCCAAGGTCACTAATATTCTGTATATCAATGAACAAGAATGGATTCGACCACTTGATTAAAGTCTCTTAACTCGGATTTAAGACACATTTCAAAGGGTTTGCTGTCCCAAATAGATCTCTTTGGATGCCTAAGCATGCATCGTGGATTTCTGTTACACCGTACCAACACTTGGATTTAACCCAGCATGTATGTGTGACGGCATTGGACTTCAACTTGTCCATACACCACATCTTTAAAACGCTGCTACTTTCTACCTGTTTTTGCCTTCTTTTTATGGTTAAGACGCCATGAGGTATAACTTGTGTCGTTTAATGACGCAGTTTATAGTTTATTTCTGTTCAAATCAACACTATATGTGAACAGGTCTATGTGTATCTTGTGACAGTTGCCAGATATAAAAGACCCCCACATGAGAGTTAACATGTCTGATCCCTGGATAAGGTTGGACTACCTCCCGCGGTAGACGACAAGATACAATATACACATATAAATCTTAGATATCAGGCTTTGTTTGTAAATAATGGCGACTTGGGACAACTTCATTATCGATGTGAAACTGACAAATCTGAAGTTTCTAGTGATATTTCATGAATTATTGTTTGCTGCTTTATCTCATTTTTGGAGCCGCAATATTTGCTTGCTAGTTAACACAGACCATTTATGAGTGCGTGTGTCATAATTTATATACATGTACACAGGAAGTTATGAGAACTGATTGGCAGCAGTTTGGGTCGTATGATCCTCAGGGTGATGAGGATTGGCAGCAGTTTGGGCCGTATGATCCTCAGGGTGGTGAGGATTGGCAGCAGTTTGGGTCGTATGATCCTCAGGGTGATGAGGATTGGCAGCAGTTTGGGTCGTATGACTCTCAGGGTTATGAGGATTGGCAGCAGTTTGGGTCGTATGATCCGCAGGGTGATGAGGATTGGCAGCAGTTTGGGTCGTATGTTCCTCAGGGTGATGAGGATTGGCAGCAGTTTGGGTCGTATGATCCTCAGGGTGATGAGGATTGGCAGAAGTTTGGGTCGTATGATCCTCAGGGTGATGAAGGTGATTAAGGATCGCAAAGACAAAAAATCACAGGTTGCACTTGTTTACTTGGCTCACACGGAAAGGTTTATACGGCATTTAATAGCCAGATTTTATTGTCTTCCGGAAAAAAAAAACAATATACTCCCATTCACGAAACCTTTGCTCGACCTGTCAATGCACTTGGTTTTGATGTTTTATTCCATTTCTAATAAAATGTTCTAAGTGTCTGGCCAGTAATTTAGAAAACCATGTTTTCAGTACATTCCAGAAGGAACTGTCGACGCCAGGCACTATTATTTTTTCTAGTTTTTAAGGTCTGAATTAAAACCTTAAAATTGGGAAAGATAGTAGCTTTACAAGATATGTAAAGTTAGAAAGTATGCCTAGTGAATTTTTAAACAAAATATGTCCAGACTGTGGACTATTTTTCTAAGTTATGTAGACTGATAAAACAAAGTTACACGTCACTTTAAAAGCCGCTTACCTTTCTAAAGGACCTTTAGAAACATTTGCTAACAGACTCGTCGAAATGAAATGAACATTATTTTTTCTACCCGTGTCGTTCCCGCCCCTGTCATGTGACGATTTTTATATTGCAATATATGATTACCACCACGACTACATATTTTACCAGGTGTTGTGTGGGGCCAAAAATACGAAATTGGCTTTGTCTTTGATGGGAAATTATCAACAATGCCATCAAGATTTGAATTATGGTCACTTTCCCAGAACTCTGCCTCTTCATCTTGAAATGGAAATCAACCAATAATGGCGGCGTTCCACAAAAGGATTGAAGTCAAAAGTCGGTCTTAACTTAAAAAATGAACTATTTGACACCAGTTCAAACAGTAGCTGTTCACCTTGCCAAAGATATTGGACATAGAACTTAAAAATTAAAACTTGACTATTGTTTAATGTAGATGGATACTTTATTTAACTGGGCTATCGCGGATTTGGTCTTGAATAAAACCAAAGTTGTCGGTCTTCAGGTTAATACCATCTTTTGTCTTGAGGTCTATTTTGAAATTCGGCTTAGAGTGGAAAATAAAACTTCTCATGCAAAATTGAGTTTTAAAGCGTTATAAATCCACATGAAATCTTTGCCCTCGTTTAATTATCGTTTGACTTTATTATACTCGTTCGATAACAGTTTTCAATAACGCTCCAAAGGTTGACTTTTACAATAACCTAAGCAGTGGATAAGCGTTTTAAAGCCTCTGCACATTGCACTCACGTGCCAATTAACTTTTCTTCCAACTCAAAGAGAAAACAATCTGAAACAAACAAACGGCATGGTTTATAACGGAATTACTGGACTTTAAAGGACAAATGTTTTAATGAATTTGGTAGTAAATGGCTGTCTGTGTATCCAAGCGACGAAATCCCTCCTAAATTCTGTATAAACTTAACTTTTGTATTAATTGTCGTATCAAAACGCATTTTTCTTTCATTATTAAATTTGACGTAGTGACTGACGTCAGTTTCAACTGTCAATAAAAAGGCGTTACGTCAGGAATATACTGAAGGCAAAAGTAAAATATAAATCCATACAAATTTAAGAACCGCTGGTTGTATGGTACTGAGATAAAAAGCCGATCCTGTCATCATTTATTTGATGGTATATTTGCTTGTGGGAACAATAAGCTTGGAAGTCGGTTTCTTTCAGTTCCGTCGCATTGACGCAATAGTGTCCGAAAAGTCACATTTGGACGCCACGGGGGCGGCTCAAGGGCTCCGGGATACAGCCAAAATCTGCATTTTTAAATATGAGTTGGGTCAGGTTTTGTGTGCACTGAAAGGAGAAGTACTGGCATAACGAAGGACAACTTTTGAATATTTGTACTGAGCAAATTTTGAGGCGTTTCTCTCTACTTGATCAACATACTTCAAAGTCACTTGTAGCCATATTTTGCTTTTAACCTCTGGAATGATTATATTTGTAGATGTATTAGGAGTCTGACATGGGCTTGCCCAGTTGGCCTATTGTTAATTAGCCGTATCAGTACTACCTCGAGTGTTTAATCCGACAGAAGTTCAAATTTGTCATCAGAGTCGCCCTAGCTGTTATGATCCAGAAATGACACGCCAGTTGGAGTAAGAAATATTTAAGTGCTCATGAACGCCGTGGGGTCCACTCTACCTGTTTTTGAAATAATAATTAAAAAAATAATAATAAAGGAAAATGATTTGAGTGGCCGGACTAAGCTATGACGACCCGACTTCACTTGAAACAGACCTTTAAAAATCAGACATTTATCTTATTCTGAACACAATCCCCGTCTGGTTTCTTTGCATTGTCTCACTTTCCTACTCTCTGATATTAGGGGGCTTCTTAAAAAGTATACAAAAATTTTTTAAAGTATCAACGATAACAGACTACTAGAGCACCCTGTAGTCAGAGAGCATCATTCTCCGCGCTCAGGTGTCTGTGAGATATTAAAACTTGGCCTAAGCAAACTTTCCGCATATTCTGTACAAGAAGTATCTATTTTGCAAGTCGAAGCTGCGTTTCTTTTTCAAAATGCAATAGGCACCTCATTTGCTGTAAATGAATGAACGCAAAACAAACAGAAAAAATCCCCTTCCCGCGCCGGAAGAATTATTTGGGTTTTTTCTTCGGATATCACAACTAAATCATTGAACAAAGAAACAGTTCAACTTGGGGTAAAAGCTACAAACCTAAGTTGTTTGAAAAAAAAAAAGAGAGAGATCGAAACATCCTTGTATGGGAGATAAAGAAAGTCGCACTTACATTTGTCTCTGAGTCTTGGATTCCCGAATTTCCTACAGGGCTTATTCAGATTCTCTTACTCACTGTTCCGACGACTTCTGAGTGTAAGTACAGTAATAAACGTGTATGAGGAGGTCTCAAGCCGATTTTCTTATCTAAAGTTGCTGTTCAGGTGGTCCTTATAAGTGCCTGCTCGTCCTCTGTGTTTACCTGGGTGACGTCAGAGGGACCATTTCAGGACACTTCTCCCACGGTTGCAAATGTTTCTGAATCATGCATTTTTAAAGATGTAATAAGTTCTGAAACCGAATAATGCACGTTCAGTTTTATTTCAATCCATGCATAAAGCAACATTTTCGTATAATTAACCATCTCCCAGGTATGTCTTCTAAAATAGCTTTAATTTCAGGAAAAAATACGCATTTTAAGAAAGTAAAATGAAAAATATCTAAACTGCGCAATTTCTTTTGAGAAGGTCCTTCCACTGTGTCCACTACGTGTGTCTTTACACTCACTTTTCCTGTCGGCAGAATACCAATATAAACCGCCGGAAACTACCAATTGAATGAAAACATGTACGCTTGGATTTAAACAATTTTTATAGTTAAATTAATGTGGGTGCGTTCTCAAATCATTCGCAAGTTTAACAGACCAACATGACTCACACACACATAAACACGAGCTATATGGCGTGTTACCTCGTAGTGCATGTGCGCGTGTGAAAGAGATGGAAAGGACAGATGCATTAAAACAATGATAAGACTGCCATTTAGTGAAAAAGTCTTAAAATACGGCCTGGGGTCCAGAGAGCCCTCTGCATCGATCTCAAAAATTGTATTTTGCGCTCCCAAGAAGTCGGAAAAATCTCATTAAATGTGGAAAGAATGGACACTGAAAGAGTATTAAATACTTGAAAATAGCAATCAGAAGTTATATTTTACTAAACCTAACATATTTCCATTATTTAGTTGATATTCTATCAGGGACATGAGATGGAAAATTAAGAAGCTAATAGAAAACGCACACGCGTCCTGGCTTTGGACAAACTTTTGTGGCAAACATTTAATGACTTTAATAAAAACGAGAATCTATTCCGAATCCGCGTTAGTAATAAATAATTAATTTTGGCGTGGGTGTTAATGAACGGGATAAGTTAAATCTCTAACTGTATCTTAGCTACGAGAAGGCGAGTTGCGTAGAAATAGTTATTGTCGACTTTCGCGGCAATCTCCATTCGTTCCATATATAGATGTATTGAAAGGCAGTAGCCTGACATCCAGGTAAACATTCAGAAAACACAGAACTGTAACCAGTGCCACGTGGGCCGTTGTAGAGACGAGGGTGTACGTAGCTATCCAACTGCCACTTTCCCCACCAACTGTGAAAACCGCGGGTAGCGGTTACACTGCAGGCCCGTAGTCAGGTGGGGTTCGGGGGGTTCGAAAGAACCCCTCTTTTGTCGGGAAAAGGTCCCCTCTGAGTAAAATTTTATCTAAGTACACGAAGGTTTCATGGTAAAAGGTCCACTTTTTTAGAAAAAGTCCTGAAATTGCTGGCTACGGGACTGCACTGAACATATGCTTCTTGCCTTATTTACTTTTAAATCACCCCCCCCCCCCCACGTAATTAAAAAAACTTTATAAGTATATTCGTCTGGTCACTTGTTTGTTCCAATTTTTGTCCTGCAATAGAGGCCACATTTTTTGAGATTTTTGTTTCAAGATTTTCCTGTAATTTTCATTATTTAGATTTCTTTTAAAATTCAAGAAGAGAGTACCAATAATTAAAGCCATTTAGGGAAAAGCGCATAATTTATTGAATAATTCCTGCTTATTGCTTTAAATTCATTGGTTTCTAGACATATATTTGATTATTCATACGATGGCCGTTATTTGCACTGTGCGTTTTTACTCCCATGGAACTAATATTAAGTTCTTTTTCAGAAATTTCCAAGCCATCTGTTAAAAAGAATAAAACCAACCTAATGCTCATAAATATAGTATAAGAGGCATTCATAACACATATTAAGCTATGTTCCAGCCAGACTGACCTACCAAGTTCATGTGTGGGAGAAGCGTTCAGTCTCCCGTCTTCTCCCCTCTGAGAATAAATTTCTTCCTGTGCAGCAATTAAAATTAATATTGAGTTACAATCCTTTAACATATCTCTATAAAACCTATCTAACCACTGGGGGAATGCAACAACAGTAAGAGAGGTTTCCAGCCTCATTTTGTTGAATATACAAGTTAATACAATACACACATAACATGTTCTTATGATAACAGTTACAGTCAAAACAATGAAGAATGAGATTCCACTGGCAAGTTTCCTCTACAAGTACCATCTGGCTCCATCTTGCTGACGACTGATCCCTAAGTTAAGCTCCTATGTTAACACCTTCCTGCATTGCTTAATGCAGTCCATGTTTTACAGTTTGTTTTCTTAGTCTGTTGATGACTTGTGTTGTGTGGGACAGTAATATACAGCTATCTTTGGCTCCTCTCCTAAAGCTTGTATAGTCTGTTGATGGTGTACTATGAATGATGATGAGATTATCAATTCTCGTTTCATTTTCAGCAGTTTCCTCTCATATTGTGTGTTTAGATCATTTCTGATGAATTGTGAATGATGATGACAATGTAGATGTAGTGTGTGTTATATTCGGCTCTGGTTCCTGTGGTGACTCATCAGCTGCCTGTATCAGTGTCTCCTCAATGATATAAACTGTGCAGTATTAGTGTAGATGGTGTCATCTCTCCAGCCTGGCTTTCTGCAGTGCCTCCTCCACCGACTGTTTTAACCTGTTGATCACAGCTCTGGGTTCATCACTGCCGGTCACAGCAGTGCCACTCACTATCATGTTGGCACCAGCCTGAAATATGACATAGAAATATGTGGTCATTGTGTTACCTAGCACATCTAACACACTGCATCAAACCTTGTCACACCTAGCACAATGTCACATCCATGACGGCACATCTAACACACTGCATCAAACCCTGTCACACATAGCACAATGTGTCACATCCATGACAGCACATCTAACACACTGCACCAAACCCTGTCACACATAGCACAATGTATTGTATTAAATGCTGTCACATGTAACACAATGCATCACATCACATTCTATAATATCAATATATCATATTCATACTATATTTATACTTACATATGCATTCAATATCTTACCTCAGCTACTACATCTATATTACTTGGTCCAACCCCGCCATCCACCTCTATATCCAAGTCCTGGTAGCGCTGTCTTAGATACTGGACCTACAGAAACATATCACGACAGGTCAGTTTTTGTTACTTCTGGTAAATGTTCTGATAGCACAGCTTACTGAAGCCTTCTTCTAGTACATGTTCTGATTGTGTGCCTTTACTAAAAATATCATGAAGGCTTCAGTATGGGCCACTCCACAAAATTTTAAAGAATGCTTGTAGAAATGTAAAATATAATCCAACCCATCTTGAGAAAATCTAATTTTGAATTTTTTAATAATTAATAATTTTCTTTGCACAAAATTTAACATAGTTTTTGAGTCTATTTCCCAGACATGAGTCACTTACCTTAGGCATCATATCTGACATAAACTTCTGTCCCCCAAATCCTGGCTCAACAGTCATCACCAGTGCCATGTCTATGAGCTCTATGTACGGCACCAAGGCACTGACTGGAGTACCTGGCTTTACTCCTAGACCTACCTAGAACACAGATAGAATTATATTCATATTAAGATAAGACACTGACTGGAGTACCTGGCTTTACTCCTAGACCTACCTAGAACACAGATAGAATTATATTCATATTAAGATAAGACACTGAATGGTGTACCTGGCTTTACTCCTAGACCTACCTAGAACACAGAGAGAATTATATTCAGGGAAAAGGGACAGGGAAAACAAAGCTAGTGATAATGTAGTTGAGTTGTTGCTACCAAACTCTCAGCTGTAATAAACTTTAATTATGTTCTGAACATTTTCTGCCAGCTTTTCCAAAGACCAAATCATTCAAAACACAACAAATATGTTTTTTTTTCTTGTCTATTTTCCTATTCAAATTAAAAGGCCTTATTTTTCACGATTTTGAGCCACTATGCACACTTTTAACATTCTTTTTTGTTCCAACAAGTATAATTCAAATTTTAAAATTTGGAATTTTTTATAATTTGCAGAGATAAACAGAGAAAAGTTTATGTCCACTTTGATCTCTGTCCTAAGAGCTGTGCAGAGCCAGCAGTTCATTCACCTTCATTCCAGCTTCTTTGATCTTCCTGATGCATCCTATGACGTCATCCGTGGCCTCCACGTGAAACGTGAACTGGTTAGCACCTGCGTCTGTCATACCCTCTACCCACTGAAAACACAACAACAATCCACTGTGACACTTAATTCTTCATTTTCCTAAACAAAATATTGAACTTAATTTGCTGGAAGGTCTGCTTTTCCTTAAATCGTTTTCAGTGCTTTAGTTTTGCAGTACTGGCCAGTATATCTTATGGTGTCATAATAATATATACACTTGTTTTCTTATCAAAACATACTGGGCTGAATCTTATTTCATGACACATGCTTTTATTCAAAACTGATTTCATGCTTACTGGCTTATGATAAAATATCTGTACATCCCTTTTATAGGAGTTCACATTTGTCTCTTATTGCAATTCCCTCATGTATAAACTGAATTATATGACAGTAGAAAGCATGGGGCCGTAGCGATAGTCTGAAGGTTCAATAGTCCGAAGGTTCATTGGTCCGAATGTTCACTATAGAACCTTCGGACCAATGATCCCTTGATTAAAAAATCGATAAAAATGTTACCACTTTTCGGACCAATGAACCTTCGGACCAGTGAACCTTCGGACTATCGAGACGCCCCCGAAAGCGTGGGGTGGGTATCAGTATCTGAAGAGCTGTCAAAAATGTCAACACGCCTATGAGGTTCTGTAATAAATAAATAAATAAATAAATAAATTAATAAATAAATAAATACATTTTTAATTAAAATATAACAATTCCATAACCATTTAATCATGGACTTGGTTCTTGCTTACACAGACAATGTACAAAAAAGCGCCATTTAGCTAGCATTTTCTGTCTACTTGACTGTTGTACCTGCTCTGGTTTAGCAACCATCATGTGCATATCGAAGAAAACGCCGGGCACTTTTGGCCGCAGACACTTCACAACTGGATGACCAAAGGTGATATTTGGCACAAAATGGCCATCCATTACATCTAGATGTAGATAGTCTGCTCCACACTCCATCAGACGCTGACATTCTGTCCCCAACATAGACAAATCTGCTGCTAGTATCGAGGGACCGATTTTACACTCACATGAAGTTGCCATTTTGAAACCCTCCGTTTAGGAGCCTCGTTATCGACTTAATATGAACTGTTTTGACTTTAGTTTGTCCACATTTGAAAGGCTAGAAAACTGACAAATATCTACTTAGATTCAAAAGATTTATAAAAAAAGTTGGTATTACATTTTGTAATAAAATTGATGAAATAAGCTAACTGATAAACTTAATCTAATTAATAAAATATCTTGCGAATGAAATCCAGCTCTGCAAGTTCTCCCGCGGAAAATCAAAATGGCGGGTTTGTATTTTTATTACGCATTTCTTAAAAATCATTAAGAGTTTGCAAATCCTTGAACTACAATTTATTTGATTTCAAATTGGTTAAAGTACAAAAGTGATGATGAAAGTATTAGTAGATTTGCCATCAGATTTTTCTGAAGGGGGTCGAAAGAGACGGTGTGATTGAATGAGTATCTTCCTCATACTATCAAGAGAAGTTCATCCCCNTTGGTGAGTGCTCCCACCTACTCCTCTCCCTACTTTCCTCCCCTCTTCTCTTAGACAGTGGTAGAGATAGGCAGGTTAACATATTATTACTCAGAATCCTAGACAGGATCCTTCCCCCCCCCCCCCCCCCCCCCCCAGGGCAGTCCCAACCTCAGGTGTACTACTGAAATTTTGTAGGACCCATGCAAAGCCCTGAAGATAAGTGCAGCAATCACCAAAGTTTGTAGAAGAAGATAGGAGAAATTTAAAAGCCAGGGAAAAATGGACAGACATACACACAAGCATGATAGATAATGACCTATGTAAAAATAATGAACTGATAATTATAATACAAATACAATTTAAATTCTTATACCCATCTTCTTTGTTTTTACCTCAGGTATGTCAATCTTGGTGAGCCGACTGGAAGAATTTAAATGTGATGCTAATGAAGCTGTCTCCATGAAACTTGGTAAGTGACTGCTACTTTTAGTCTTGGCAGAATATTCCACTCCACGGCAATCTTTATATCTCCCTGATATCTCTTAATACACTTTGTGTTCAAAGGAAATTAGAGAATCACAATAGCAGACCAATACTGTTTAATTTCAAGATGTCGATTGCTCCTGATCATTGACCATTCTCTCACAAATAGTGCTCAATAGAAAGAAGCCTGAAATAACAATTTTTACTCTAAGAGCAAATAATGTTAAGGATACCACAAGCCTCTTTCAAATATTTTGATAGATTTGTTCATTTGTAGTCCGTGACCAAGCTGACTTTGAAGATGAGGGACAAAGTTTTCACCCAGATATGTCCCATCAGATATTTGGTGAAAGGTGGGTGTTCTTTCACCAGCAGGTAGACACAGTCAAGTTGTATGGTAGCCACATCTAGTTTATATACACTGAACTGTAAAGACCTCACTTTAGAAAAATTATGTAATTCCTGGATAATATATTATTATAAGTCATGTTATGTGGTATTACCGTAAGTAGAATTTTGATACAAAATAAAGTTCAGCAGTAGATCCCGATGTTTTTGTGCTGGCAACTACATGACAGCATAGTAAAATGTGTCTTATTTGAACTATTTATTTGCAGTGAGAGTATATTTGGTTATAAGGACCTGCAGGTGTCCCTGTACTACAGTGCTGGCAGACTCATTACATATCTGGGCATCAAATACAGTGAGAAAGTCTCCGCTCAGGAGTTTGATGGGGTTATTGTAAGTTATCAGTTGTTTTATGTATTTTTGGGAAGTCATTTAACACATTTAATTAATACATTTGAAGTTCTATGTAAACAATGGCTTGAGGTAAAGCATTTATGAAAAGGACGAAGTGAATTAACATTTACTTTTCATTGTATTGTGTTATGGTATGTAAATGGTATGGATAATAGGTAGAAGAACACATGGTTTGGAATGTTCCTCCTTTTGGAAGATGTCCTGTATTAAATGTAGAAAAGAAAACAAGAAAGATGCTGGAATTTGTCAACTTTTTTCTGGTTGTGTGAGAATATTTTCTTTATTTATTTGTTAGCAATTTCCAGTTTGTATTTTCATACCTCCACTTTTTGTTGATATTCATTCCATATAAGGCAGATGATAATGCTGTGTATTCTCTCCATATAAGGCAGATGATATTGAGAAGCAGATAGCAGAACAGATTCCCCCTGGATACATGACCAACTCAGACGATTTCTTAGCATCTCTGGACAAAGAAGTCAACTTCAAGCCATTTGGAGAGCTATTACATTCATATAAAGTAGAGAAAGGTAAGTGTTGTAGCCAACAAACTTGGCAATATTTACACCTTATTCAGTTATTGGATACAGAAAAAAGTTTGTTTGAGTTATCTCAGTATTCGTGCTTTACAGTTGACCACATTGCTACATGTATATTATAGATGTGTTTATAACTTATTTCTGAAACAATTGTTCATATGAATATTCAAATAATAGAGTGAATACTGTTCAACTTGAATTTGTCTTTTTGTAAGCATGTTTCAGGTGACAGAGAAACTATTTTCAGATCCTCAAATCAGAAAACGGAGCACATGTATTTATTTTATTCTGACCTTATATTTTTGATTGTTTCAGAGGGAAGAGATAGGCATTTTGAGATCTACAGGGCAGACATTAGTGTTCCCGGGTTCAGAGAATACCACGAGAGACTTCAGACCTTCTTACTGTGGTACATAGACGCTGCATCCTATATAGATGTAGATGATGATAGATGGGTCTTTTACTTAATGTAAGTGTGACTTTTAAATTATGCTCTGTACCGTTAAGTTTGGAAGAGGATTTTGTCTGAGATATATTTAGGTTTTCCCCTGTAGTTAAAAAGAAATTGTCACATTTACCTGACTCTTAGGCTGTCTTCCCAGAGCTTTTAGATCGATCTGTGGGGAGTCTCACTAGATTACTGTCAGATAATCTGGCTTAAATGTCCGTCCCGCCTACTACAAGCTGTAAGGGGGCAATTAACTTTCGTGTCTGCTCGGCTGACAGCTCTTTAGCGTGAACCCCCAGGGAGATAGGTCGATCTAAAGTAGATCGATCTAATCTCTGGAAATGGGGTCATAGTCTGGCTGACTTCTGATAAAGTGCTCATACATCCATTCTTATAATGATAGTTATTATTTTTCCAGATTTGAAAAATACCATTCTGTCACCCACTCTCAGCAGATGTATGCTATTGCTGGGTATATGACAGCATACAGTTACTATGCATATCCTGCTAATACTAGACCTAGGATGAGGTAACTTTGTACTTTTTATATTTATATATATTTTTTTATTGATCTTAAGTATGATTTTGTTATCAGTGGTTATTGATTTAAGGAAAATGTCAGAGTTATGCCCCTAATAGTTTTACACACACACTTGAGAGCAATTGTGATTTATTTTACATCTAACTTGATGCTAAACTGAATCTTCCAGCCAGGTGCTGGTGCTGCCCCCTTTCCAGAGGATGGGTCACTGTGCCAGACTGATCCAGACATTTTACAATGATGTGGTGCCACGGCCCGAGGTATTGGATGTCACAGGTGGGTGGAGGGGGGCTTAACTGTGATCATCACGGAAGTCATAAATAGAGATACAAACATTTTCTTAATTCAAGGATTACAATTTTTAGTTACAAAAAGTTACAAAACAATAACCATTAATAATAAATACTTCAATCAGAAAGAGTGAAAACTTATTAATTTAAACTTAATACTGTAATTTTCTATTTAATGCTCCAGAGAACATACAGATGCAAATTGTATTTTGTAATTTTGCCCAAGTTTTAATGTCTGGGATGGGGTGTTGATAGGATAGGAAATGTTCCCCAAATGCTAAAATTTAATATTTTTCACCAATTTCTGATTTTGATAATAAAAAAAATATGAACTTTGATTATTATTGACAGTTGTGTATGGATGTACTGACGAAATGTAAGGATTGTGAATAATTGTTTTCTAGTTGAAGATCCTTCTGAAAACTTTCAAAAAGTCCGGGATTTTGTTGATGCCAAAAACTGTTTAAAGCTAGACACATTTCAGCCAGAAAGCTTAAAGGAGGGATTCACAGACAGTATGGCCAAGGAGGCACAAATGAAGTTAAAATTAAATAAGGTTTGTACATTTAACACATGCTCAAACACTTATGGAATTTGTTATACAAGATGGTTTTATTTGGTAACAATTGAAAACCTAAGAGTAAGTCTTTTTGATGTCGATGGCAAAAAGACAGGGGCCAGTCTCAACAGAAATGATGGTGCCATCCTCCCTGACCTCTACATCCCTTTCCTATAGACATCGAAATATTGGAGGTAAAACCTATCTCACTATTAGCTGTTGTCTGAAGAAAAAATCACATCATTCTTATTACTTAACACAGCTGATGAAATTCTTCTCTGACTAAGAGTAAGCATTATTATTGAAGAGACTTGATGTTCATCCAAAAACTTGTGCTTGGCAATAACTAGCCTAACTGTTTTGGTGAGTCTCACCACTCTAGTTAGTACTTCTGAGCGTCTCTCCTGTTACCTGAGATTTGCGCGACCAAATCATTTGACATATTAACTTATATTTTGTAACTTATGTGGGCTTTCAGAGGCAAGCAAGGCGAGTTTATGAGATACTACGATTAAAAGCTGTTGACCCAAAAAATGCGGAGGAAGTAAGAGGCTACAGACTTGACATCAAGAGGAGGTTAAACAAACCTTTTGAGGTGAGTGTGTCTGCTGCTATCCTGTGTACTTGGACAGGTGAAGGTACAGGTAAAGGTACAGGTAAAGGTACAGGTAAAGGTAAAAGGATTTGTACAGGTAAAAGTACAGGTAAAGGTTGGTTTATGACGTGATTAGCAAGTTTTACTTTCATTTTACCTTGCCCTGAATTAAAGTTAAGAAGTTTTCTGTATTTTCAGAAAAATGGACGCGATTTAGAAAAACTACAGCGAGTGTTGGAAGAGGGAGAATACACTGCGGCAATGAATGCTATCACAGGAGAACAGAAATTCAAGATTTTACAAGAACAGTATGAACAGCAAGTAGAGGGATATAGGAGTATATTGGACAGACTTGCCACATGGCATGAATAACACCACATTGACACTGGATAGAAGAGTATATTGGACAGATTTGCCACATGACATGAATAACATTATATCCACAGTAACTGTTTTGGAATTTCTGACAAATTTTGTGGCAGCAAGGCTAGGTTTCCATCAGGTTTTAAACCAGGGAATCAATAAAAACATCTAACTGAAATTACTGGGATTCTTTTCCAGGTGACTGTGTCAATGGTCACAAGGAGGTGCTCCAGCAACAGAGACCTTAAGTCTCCTGACCATGTAAAACACACCGTTGAGGTGATTCCAAGGGTTCGATTTCTGTCTTTTTGGAGACATGCAGACTTTTATTACCTTCCAGAAACTGTTGTTTGATATGTTATAGTGTTAAATTTTAGAAAATTTTCTGAAAATAACATGCAGAAGTCTGTGTTATGCATGAATACTTCAGCTGTATCAGAGATAGTGAATTGATAGAGATCATTTGAATTCTATTTCTGCAGTACAATGCACTACTTTGAGGTACTGATAAAGGTTCAAAATGGTACCATATGATGGTTGAAATGAATAAATTATTTATTCGAGAACAACATACTAGCAGCAGTCAAATAATGGAAGCTTTTGTACATGCATTGTGCTTCTCAGCCGTTGGTCTTCATTTCTGGCTGCATTTGCTATTTTCTCAAAGTTCAGAATTTCCAGCATTTTGATGCCCATGTTGGTTTCACAAGAGTCCCACTGCAGGAAGTTTAATACATCACAGTTTTACAATCTAAATTGTAGCAGTTGTTAATAAAAGGGGAGGGCACAGTCTCTCTATGCCCTAGTACATGGAAAATGTAGAAAATGCAGTCCCCTCACTTCAAGGTTTTTTTTTTGTCAATATATGTCCCTTCCTACACTTGATAAATTTAATTTGCAAATTTGAAATGTTAAGTGGCGTGAGGGTCATCTGTTATTTCCAGCAAATGTTAAAATCACTGTAAATTTGATTTTCTATAGTGATTTATTGTCACTATAAAGGCATAAAAAAATTACAAAAGAAAACAATAAAGAAATCAGCTTATTTGTAAAACTAATATGACTGAAGGAAGCAGACAACAATGAAAACAAAAATTAATACATCTGACTATAAATTAACAATCCTTTGGGCTCAATACAAGGTCAATCCTACAGACATTTTTATTTCACTGGTACACCAGCTATGAGATGTGTACTTGTCATGAAAAGCATATTTGCACAATCTGTAGAGAGCATGTCACCAGCAACATTATAACAGTATGTTAACTCTGATACACTATGGAGAGAACCACTCCAGTGTTCCCCCTTCTCTGAAGACGCCTGCTACTGGCACCTATGTCAGCTGCAGCTAGTTTTTAATTGGCATGAACAGAAGACAACATTTTAAAGATAACAAAAGGTTCAAATACAGGAACAACTGATGCTCTCTGTATAATAGATCGCACATAAAAATATTAAAGTGGAGACTGCTAATGACACCATTTTACCCATAAAATATCAGAATGTCAGTTGAATGCACTCTTGGCTTGTACTGACATAAACACCGTCTTTGACAGTACCTTCAATATTACAGTTTATCTGAAGAAAAGAAACGATGTTGTTTCCACTTTACACTATAAAAAAAAAAAAAAAAAAAAAAAAAAAAAAAATTGGACATAATATTGTTTGCCTGTGTTGTTAATTACTAACATGACTAGTATTACTAGGTTTGTGCACACACACACACTGAGGTTGTAGGGCTCTCTGCAGTATCAGTACTAGTTAACCCAGAGTATCACAAGTAATACATGGACCTCAACTCTGGCCCCTATATAATGTGGTATGGCCCCGCCCTAGCATAATCCTGACCTTGGAGGTATCAGCAGCAAGTTAGACAAGTGTCAAATAATAATAGTAAAAATAATTCAGCAGGATCCCAGATCTCTTTAATACATGATAAAAAATTGTGAATTTAAAGAAAAATATTCTACATGATATAAAATGCTGATTTATCAAAGCTAAAACAGGGATGACAACATGGCTACTGTGGCCGAGGTTGAGGTTGGGGGCTTGCTTGTCAAAGTGTTCACTCTATCTGAGGAAAGACTCCACATCTAGTGCTATTCTCCACAAACAAATGGTAAACGACAAAATGTGTTTGGAAATTGGCCAGAGATGAGACTTTCTATCTCTTGAGATCTTTTCAGACCATTTCACTGAATGCATACAATAAGTCAAAGTTGCAGCATTTACCCACAGGTTTCAGACACTTCACTTCTAGTACTTTGTGTCTTCGGGCATTTTAGTTCACTTAATAATAAGACCAACTTTTAGATGCAAATCCAAAATAATTATGTCAAGATTTCATACACAAACTAATGGAACTTGGAAAAATAGAATAAATCAATTTTAGTTGAAATTCAGTGTGTAGTTGCTGCGGCCATTGGGGTCTCCTTGGTGACACTTTGACTGACAAGACTAACAGTTACCGGGCAAGAAACTGGTCTACCGATTACAACAAGAAAATATCATATCTTCCACTATTAGATTAAATACGTTAAGTTACACGAAGTGACAGCTTCAGTATATAAAAAGAATTATACACATATACACATAACATAAATTTCAAAGTACTAAGATGATTTACACTGTAGATTCGTAAAGTCTCGGACTTGGAGGGGGTTCTTCCAGTGTGTCCCCCCTATTGCTTCCCTGACTGGTTGCCACGCCCCCATAGTCTGTGTTTTCCTCGTCCTCCCCCCGGTACACACCCACTTCATACGCCACTATACTGGCATGGTCCAGCTTGCCTGGAGCCCGCGCCATTTTGGCAACAATTTCTGCGTCTCTTTTCTTCTTGTCTTTTGCTTTCATTTTCCTTTTGATGAATAACGTGGGATCCTCCAGCACCTTACGTTTGGGGTCTGTGAGCACGCACACGTGCTGTACGATTGCTCCACACAATTCCTGTGCAGAGCATGGTGCCTCCGTGAGCAGTTCGTACTCGTGAATCGTCCTCTCCATTTCCTTCACAGAATAGTGATGCCTCTCGTGGGGATACATTTCTGGTTTTGTTGGATCTACAGCAGGTTTTGAGTTACAAATCTCTTTGTTTCCAGTTTCAGCAATATTTGAGTCATTTTTCTCTGAGGGGCTCGCTACAGTAGGGGAAATTGCTGCCTGAGCTATTTTAGTCACAACCGGGTCAAAGTTGTCTGAGATTCCATCTGTTGTCAGGAACACCACATCTCCAGGGTCAACAAAGGTCATGGAACAGGTCAGGTTGTTAAGCTCTGGGTTCTTTCCATCCACAGGACCCAACGCCCCGCCCGCGTCTCTGAGATCACGTTCTGATTGGATGTCGTGAGATCCGACCGTGATTTCCCGTAACCCCCAGCGTTTGCTCATAATAAAGGCAAAGCTATCTCCAACATTGACAACACAGATCGTGTACTGGTTGGTGTCCTGGAGGGGGCAGACCAGAGCCACACACAATGTAGTCAAACCACCTTCCTTCAGCATTATGGTCTCATGGGCAATGTCCAGTGACTGGCGAAGTAATTTTATAGCATCCTGGAGGAAACAAGGANGGGGGGGAGGAGTTCACCTCCTGAGTAGAAGCTATTCACCTGGATAGCCTCGTTCCCTGAAGAAGATGTCCAGATAGACATCGAAATATTGGAGGTAAAACCTATCTCACTATTAGCTGTTGTCTGAAGAAAAAATCACATCATTCTTATTACTTAACACAGCTGATGAAATTCTTCTCTGACTAAGAGTAAGCATTATTATTGAAGAGACTTGACGTTCATTCAAAAACTTGTGCTTGGCAATAACTTGCCTAAGACCCCATTTCCAGAGATTAGATCGATCTACTTAAGATCGACCTAACTCCATGGGGGTTCACGCTAAATAGCTGTCAGCCGAGCGGACACGAAAGTTAATTACCCCCTTACAGCTTGTAGTAGGCGGGACGGACATTTAAGCCGGATTATCTGACAGTAATCTAGTGAGACTCCCCGCGGGGATAGATCGATCTAAAAGCTCTGGGAATACAGCCTAACTGTTTTGGTGAGTCTCACCACTCTAGTTAGTACTTCTGAGCGTCTCTCCTGTTACCTGAGATTTGCACGACCAAATCATTTGGCACATTAACTTATATTTTGTAACTTATGTGGGCTTTCAGAGGCAAGCAAGGCGAGTTTATGAGATACTACGATTAAAAGCTGTTGACCCAAAAAATGCGGAGGAAGTAAGAGGCTACAGACTTGACATCAAGAGGAGGTTAAACAAACCTTTTGAGGTGAGTGTGTCTGCTGCTATCCTGTGTACTTGGACAGGTGAAGGTAAAGGATTTGTACAGGTAAAGGTACAGGTATTTGTACAGGTAAAGGTACAGGTATTTGTACAGGTAAAGGTACAGGGATTTGTACAGGTAAAAGTACAGGTATTTGTACAGGTAAAGGTACAGGGATTTGTACAGGTAAAGGTAAAAGGATTTGTACAGGTAAAAGTACAGGTATTTGTACAGGTAAAGGTTGGTTTATGACGCAATTGGCAAGTTTTACTTTCATTTTATCTCGCCCTGAATTAAAGTTGAGATGTTTTCTGTATTTTCAGAAAAATGGACGCGATTTAGAAAAACTACAGCGAGTGTTGGAAGAGGGAGAATACACTGCGGCAATGAATGCTATCACAGGAGAACAGAAATTCAAGATTTTACAAGAACAGTATGAACAGCAAGTAGAGGGATATAGGAGTATATTGGACAGACTTGCCACATGGCATGAATAACATCACATTGACACTGGATATAGGAGTATATTGGACAGACTTGCCACGTGGCATGAATAACATCACATTGACACTGGATAGAGGAGTATATTGGACAGATTTGCCACATGGCATGAATAACATTATATCCACAGAAACTATTTTGGAATTTCTGACAAATTTTGTGGCAGCAAGGCTAGGTTTCCATCAGGTTTTTAACCAGGGAATCATTAAAAACATCTAACTGAAATTACTGGGATTCTTTTCTAGGTGACTGTGTCAATGGTCACAAGGAGGTGCTCCAGCAACAGAGACCTTAAGTCTCCTGACCATGTAGAACACACCGTTGAGGTGATTCCAAGGGTTCGATTTCTGTCTTTTTGGAGACATGCAGACTTTTATTACCTTCCAGAAACTGTTGTTTGATATGTTATAGTGTTAAATTTTAGAAAATTTTCTGAAAATAACATGCAAAAGTCTGTGTTATGCGTGAATACTTCAGCTGTATCAGAGATAGCGATTTGATAGAGATCATTTGAATTCTATTTCTGCAGTACAATGCACTACTTTGAAGTAATGATAAAAGTTCAAAATGGTACCATATGATGGTTGAAATGAATAAATTATTTATTCGAGAACAACATACTAGCAGCAGTCAAATAATGGTAGCTTTTGTACATGCATTGTGCTTCTCAGCCGTTGGTCTTCATTTCTGGCTGCATTTGCTATTTTCTCAAAGTTCAGAATTTCCAGCATTTTGATGCCCATGTTGGTTTCACAAGAGTCCCACTGCAGGAAGTTTAATACATCACAGTTTTACAATCTAAATTGTAGCAGTTGTTAATAAAAGGGGAGGGCACAGTCTCTCTATGCCCTAGTACATGGAAAATGTAGAAAATGCAGTCCCCTCACTTCAAGGTTTTTTTTTTGTCAATATATGTCCCTTCCTACACTTGATAAATTTAATTTGCAAATTTGAAAAGTTTAGTGGCGGGAGGGTCATCTGTTATTTCCAGCAAATGTTAAAATCACTCTACATTCAATTTTCTATAGTGATTTATTGTCACTATAAAAGCATAAAAAAATTACAAAAGAAAACAATAAAGAAATCAGCTTATTAGTTAAATTAATATAACTAAAGGAAGCAGACAACAATGAAAACAAAAATTAATACATTTGACTATAAATTAACAATCCTTTGGGCTCAATACAAGGTCAATTCTACAGACATTTTTATTTCACTGGTACACCAGCTATGAGATGTGTACTTGTCATGAAAAGCATGTTCACAGCGCACTATTTGCACAATCTGTAGAGAGCATGTCACCAGCAACATTATAACAGTATGTTAACTCTGATACACTATAGAGAGAACCACTCCAGTGTTCCCCCTTCTCTGAAGACGCCTGCTACTGCTGCCTGTGTCAGCTGCAGCTAGTTTTTAAGTGGCATGAAGAGAAGACAACATTTTAAAGATAACAAAAGGTTCAAAATACAGGAACGACTCCTGATGCTCTGTATAATAGATCGCACATAAAAATATTAAAGTGGAGATTGCTAGTGGCACCATTTTACCCATAAAATATCCGAACGTCACCTCGCTTTTCTAGTTGAATGCACTGACATATACACTGTCTTTGACAGTACCTTCAATATTACAGTTTATCTGAAGAAAAGAAATGATGCTGTTTCCACTTAAGACAAAAAAAAAAAAAACTTGGATATAATATTGTTTGCCTGTTGTTAATTACTAACATGACTAGTATTCCTAGGTTTGTGCACACACACACTGAGGTTGTAGGGCTCTCTGCAGTATCAGTACTAGTTAACCCAGTGTATCACAAGTAATACATGGACCTCAACTCTGGCCCCTATATAATGTGGTATGGCCCCACCCTAGCATAATCCTGACCTTGGAGGTATCAGCAGCAAGTTAGACAAGTGTCAAATAATAATAGTAAAAATAATTCAGCAGGATCCCAGATCTCTTTAATACATGATAAAAAATTGTGAAATTAAATAAAAATATTCTACATGATATAAAATGCTGATTTATCAAAGATAAAACAGGGATGACAATATGGCTACTGTGGCAGAGGTTGAGGTTGGGGGCTGTAACTTGCTTGTCAAAGTGTTCATTTTATCTGAGGAAAGACTCCACATCTAGTGCTATTCTCCACAAACAAATGGTAAACGACAAAATGTGTTTGGAAATTGGCCAGAGATAAGACTTTCTATCTTTTGAAATCTTTTCAGACCATCTCACTGAATGCATACAATAAGTCAAAGTTGCAGCATTTACCCACAGGTTTCAGACACTTCACATCTAGTACTTTTNAAATGGTAAACGACAAAATGTGTTTGGAAATTGGCCAGAGATGAGACTTTCTATCTCTTGAGATCTTTTCAGACCATTTCACTGAATGCATACAATAAGTCAAAGTTGCAGCATTTACCCACAGGTTTCAGACACTTCACTTCTAGTACTTTGTGTCTTCGGGCATTTTAGTTCACTTAATAATAAGACCAACTTTTAGATGCAAATCCAAAATAATTATGTCAAGATTTCATACACAAACTAATGGAACTTGGAAAAATAGAATAAATCAATTTTAGTTGAAATTCAGTGTGTAGTTGCTGCGGCCATTGGGGTCTCCTTGGTGACACTTTGACTGACAAGACTAACAGTTACCGGGCAAGAAACTGGTCTACCGATTACAACAAGAAAATATCATATCTTCCACTATTAGATTAAATACGTTAAGTTACACGAAGTGACAGCTTCAGTATATAAAAAGAATTATACACATATACACATAACATAAATTTCAAAGTACTAAGATGATTTACACTGTAGATTCGTAAAGTCTCGGACTTGGAGGGGGTTCTTCCAGTGTGTCCCCCCTATTGCTTCCCTGACTGGTTGCCACACCCCCATAGTCCGTGTTTTCCTCGTCCTCCCCCCTGTACACACCCACTTCATACGCCACTATACTGGCATGGTCCAGCTTGCCTGGAGCCCGCGCCATTTTGGCAACAATTTCTGCATCTCTTTTCTTCTTGTCTTTTGCTTTCATTTTCCTTTTGATGAATAACGTGGGATCCTCCAGCACCTTACGTTTGGGGTCTGTGAGCACGCACACGTGCTGTACGATTGCTCCACACAATTCCTGTGCAGAGCATGGTGCCTCCGTGAGCAGTTCGTACTCGTGAATTGTCCTCTCCATTTCCTTCACAGAATAGTGATGCCTCTCGTGGGGATACATTTCTGGTTTTGTTGGATCTACAGCAGGTTTTGAGTTACAAATCTCTTTGTTTCCCGTTTCAGCAATATTTGAGTCATTTTTCTCTGAGGGGCTCGCTACAGTGGGAGAAATTGCTGCCTGAGCTATTTTAGTCACAACCGGGTCAAAGTTGTCTGAGATTCCGTCTGTTGTCAGGAACACCACATCTCCAGGGTCAACAAAGGTCATGGAGCAGGTCAGGTTGTTAAGCTCTGGGTTCTTCCCATCTACGGGACCCAATGCCCCGCCCGCGTCTCTGAGATCACGCTCTGATTGGATGTCGTGAGATCCGACAGTGATTTCCCGTAACCCCCAGCGTTTGCTCATAATAAAGGCAAAGCTATCTCCAACATTGACAACACAGATCGTGTACTGGTTGGTGTCCTGAAGTGGACAGACCAGAGCCACACACAATGTAGTCAAACCACCTTCCTTCAGCATTATGGTCTCATGGGCAATGTCCAGTGACTGGCGAAGTAATTTTATAGCATCCTGGAGAAAACAAGGAATATAAATAAACAAATAAACAAAATTTGCTATGGTGGGACTTAATTGTGACAAATAGTGTGACAAATGTAAAATATATTAGTTTTATTTAAATCATATTACAATTTACTACCATCTTATAATACTTGAAAAATGCGTCTCTAAAAATTTAAAGTGAAATACCATTGAAGCAATCAGTATCATTTATAGTGTAACACCATATGCTGAAATATTAAAAGCCTTTTATTACAGCCATATAAACAATCATCAACCTGAGTTGTTTCCAGTGTCCGCTTCTCAGCAAACAATTTCTGGTTAAGGAACTTCATGGCACCATAGATGGCAGCACGTGCCGCCATACGAGATTTCTCTCCCCAGTTGACGCCATCAGCAACAATCAGGATGGCGTTGTTTCTGCGGGCACACAGAGCAAAGGCATCTGCTATTGGGTCTCCTGGAACAATATGTGAACGTACCTCAATTTACTTTTTGTTTTCAGTGATCTATTAAAGGTTTTAAAAGCTTACCAAGGATCAAAATGCTGAGAGGGAGAAGAGAGAGAAAGAGGGTGAGAGATGGAGAGAAGACTTCAAGATATACCTGACATTTTCCCGCTGACAGGGTTCTGGTCATACAATGACAGGGAGATCCCGTACGCCTTCCTGCTTTTTAAATTCCACACTTTGGCCCCAGCTATTTCTCCATTTTTAGGCTTGTCATCTGTCAACAGAAATATACGATTATTGTCTTCAAGTCTACTAGTAATCATGACACAATGACTGGCCTATGTAACTAGAGATTGATTTCTTTTTATAAAACAGACAAATTATCACTTAATATGGACCACACATGGTTTGCGCGAAGTCAAAGGAGAATATTTCCAATATCTGGCGATGGACCTTCTTTTTACTCAAGTTCCCCAGGTGTAAGTGTCTCCCAGGTGTAATACCCACCTTTAGCAGGCAGTNGTGTGTGTGTGTGTGTGTGTGTGTGTGTGCGTGTGTGAGGGGGGGAGGGGGGATGTCTTACATCATGACCAGGTTATAGACACTAAGCGTACTCCCACTGGCAGTATACACAGTGTAGAAGGCAAACAGTCCTCCAAACAGTCCGCGGAAACAATGCCAGTCAGGAATAGAGAATGTTACAGGTAACGCACACATAGTATTGTAAAGATATGCTTCGTCTTCCCAGAGCTGAGACAAAGAACAGTGAAAGGTGGCTCTATCCACTCCTAGGTAATAATTAACCACATTCTGTTCTAGTCATGGATATTTAACAGCTTCCCGTTCATTAAAAAATCAGAATTGGATTTTTAGCAAAAGTCAAGATATGTCCAGTATTTTAGCCATGTCCATTGAAGGCTACAAGAGTTCTGGCAGAGACAACTGACCATCTGAAGTCTTTAACAGTCTCCACTGCCCAGTGGTCAGATATTGGCCAAATAGTGTGGACATTAACTCCAATCATGGAACAAAGAATAAAATCTGGTCCCAGAATCAAGAATAAACCATTTCAACACAAATCACAGTTGCCTCAGTAGATGAAAGCTTAGGGTAATCAGCATATATCTCAGCACAGACACAGACTGCTCTCCTCATAGACAGATTACGTTCCTCTCAGCTGTGCTCCATGTTAAATATCCTACAGGCATGTTGTGTGGCTAACTGAAGTTTTCCTAGATATCTTTTTTCCATGAGTAAAGCAGACAAAGGGTATCATTTCTAGCTATATTTTCTACCTGACTCACTCCCCACGTGACCTCTGACCTCTCTTTTCCCAGAGGCTGAGTCAGCAGGCAAGTCACTCATCATACTTATTTCTGGGATTTCAAAACCTACAAGAGAACTAAGTACAAAAAGTTGCTAAGAGTGTTAATTAATTGTGTCTTAGAACTATTAAATAGTTATCAAACTGAAACATTATGGCATTTTGGTGAATACTGTGTAAATACCAAACAACTAATTCTAAGGACTGAAGTATACAAATTTATGTAATGTGAATAAATAAATAAATAAATAAATAAATAAATAAATAAATAAATAAATATCAGAATTATATAAGGTCTCAGAGCAATAAAAACATTTTCATACAACTGGACCGCACAGAGATTAATTATTAGTTTAAAATTTCCTAAAGGAAGGTATAGAAGAAAAGATATATGTTCACAACAAACAGAAATGCAGGTCTCTTAAGATTCATAGTCATACAGTATATATCTCTGCACTTTCCTGGCTCTATACATATATGAACAGCTATTTATTACTCAGAATATATCAACCATTTAGCCAACACATGAGACGTGTGTGTGTGACTCACTTTCCTGGCAGTTTTTTATCCTATTCCAGCACAAGCTGAATAAGTGTGTGTGTGTAAAACAACTAATGTGAGTCAGAAAACTAATTAGTTCTTGGTTCGGTAAGAGAGATTAAAGAGCGATAGCTGTTTCTTCTCATTTTCATGTAATACTTTAAGTGATTGATGATGGCACAAACAATGTTTAGCTTCTGTTCGTTACTTTGCTAATACTGGTGTTAAGTCATAACAGAAAGAAAATGAGTAAAACAAAATTTCCCTTTCTGAGGCAATATTTACAGAGGAGACTCTATATATAAATAAATGAAAAAATAAATAAATAACCAAACCATCTTGCAGAAGACTGGCACCAGTACTGAAGATTTGAAGATTATAAACATTTCATCAATTTCAAGGCAGATCAATACACAAGGAAATTTCTCTGGGGACCCATCAACTTCCCTCCAGCTCCTGTGGAAAGGTGGTAAAGATGTCTAGTAATAAGGAAATACGGTGGATGTTTGGAATAATCAATGTAGTTTCACCTTAAATTCAACAAGGAGAAAACTTGGTGTTGTGGGTCTGATGTCCACTTCAACTGTGATAAAAACTGACATTCATAATTTCTCATAGCCAAAGATAAAAGGAGGAGATGTCTTTGTGCAGAAATAACATAAACCAAACTTTGAATTACTAGTAGCTGATTTTCATGAGGAAAGTTGACAAAATACAAGAATTCAATAAATGAAAGTCAGGCAAGTACTTAAAAACAGCTGCCAAAATTTTCTTTCCCCTTCAACAGAAAATGTAAACATATCCCGTATATTTTCTGTTTTAATTCTTTGGTATAGAAGGAAAATGTGAAATTCCTATGAGAACTTCAAGTCAGGTGTCTCAGAGAAATATTATTTTTGTTTGTGTTTATTCATCTTATCACCTTTATCTCCTAATGGTTGACACTAGTGACATAGGCACTCATATTATGATTTACATTTTATCAGTCTAGCTTTAAAGAAATGACTTAAAACATTATGATCTTATATGAAAAATCAATATTTTCTCAATACAGCCATGTGAAACTGGAAGCTATAACAGCAATGAGAATAAGCACTAAGCCTTATGTCACATCATACACTGCCTATAGGTTTCTGCTAGTGTTAAAAAAAAAAAAACTGCCACCACCTTAAGACTGGAGTTGGAGTCTACAACATATGTGTATGTGTGGGTGTATGTGTGTGTGTGCATGTGTGTATGTATGTGCACATGTGCATGTGTGTATACACAGGAACATATGTTCTCTAATGTAGTGGTCCCACAGACAGGATATCTAGGAGAAAGGTTAAAACACTACTTTAAGGCACTACAGGTTTCAGCTTACATATAGTAGTGTACTGGACACATAACACAGATACCGTCAGTGTACTGTGGGGTTTATAACAAGATACACAGAGATAAAGGACAGGAAGGGTAAGGGATTACCATGATACTGTTATCACAGGTAACCTTGTATACACACACAGGCTCTATACTGGTACTAGTACTAGTACTAGTCAGCCACCTTTAAACATGACTATTCTGGACAGGCTGTATACTGGTACTAGTACTAGTAAGCCACCTTTAAACATGACTGTTCTGGACAGGGCTGTATACTGGTACTAGTACTAGTCAGCCACCTTCAAACATGACTATTCTGGACAGGCTGTATACTGGTACTAGTACTAGTAAGCCACCTTTAAACATGACTATTCTGGACAGGGCTGTATACTGGTACTTGTACTAGTAAGCCACCTTCAAACATGACTATTCTGGACAGGGCTGTATACTGGTACTAGTACTAGTCAGCCACCTTTAAACATGACTATTCTGGACAGGGCTGTATACTGGTACTTGTACTAGTAAGCCACCTTTAAACATGACTATTCTGGACAGGGTATATACCCAACTAGCTTCTGCAAACCAGCAGATCTCAAACAGATAGTATTCTGTCATCTCGTGCCACAATTTGGACTGTTCGGACTCAGTCTAAAGTAATCTTGTGTGAATGTAGCTTATACATGGCAAATAAAGTGTTGCTTGCATTATGCTAACATCCCTGTTCCCAGCAGGTACTCGAGCAATCAATGACCATCAATGACCATTGTTTATATCTGGGCCACATGCTGTGCACCAACCAAGATTTGTTGCAATCAATATCCCCTCCACCTTATATCTGAAGTTGATAGGCAAGCAAAGGTGTGTTCACAACTGAAGAGATATACCAGACCGACCACACAGTCTAACTGGTGTTATAGTTGACTTATGTACATAGTCGTCTTTTCCCTTAGGGGCCATTCAGAATAGATGGTCCGAGTACAAACTGATCCGCCAACTAAATATGGCTGACCACACTTCAAAAGTGTTGCCACTAATTCCATGATGGTCTCCCGCCTCCACACGCGCCATCGCTGCAGGGGCCTAGCAATTAAACCTCCAAGCCAAGATTTAAACTTACCGAGCTTCACCGTTCGGTTTTACGATAAGTTTTCTATGGCGGGAAGTAATCCCCACCTTTTATGATCTACAGAGTTAAGCTTTAAGCTTTGCGTAATCCAACGTAATATTATGTAATTGGCAGCTCGCGAACCGCGATCCATTACGTAGGAAGTGACTCCATTGCCCCATTACTTTATCCATTATCAACCATTAGATCATAAAATGAACAAAAATTTGATATATTAATATAAAGTCTTAGCTAATGATAAAATCCATTTAATGGTACTTGTGGAGGCGGGGAGACCATGCATCAGGAATCAGCAGCATCGCTCTTGAAGTGGGGTCGGCCATATTAGTCTAACTAACTGGTATATCACTTCAGTGTAAACACACAGGACTGGTTATGACTGAACCATTGTCAGAACTTGTGCCATCAGAGTTTTAGTAACCAGCAGAGAGATTGCAAACAAAGCTTAGGCAATAAGCTGTGAACTAGCTAATGCTTCACAAAGCTGGGCACATATTTCAAATCCACTCCAGTTCTCTGAAACCTAGTCATCTGATGACACAAGTTAGACCAATTTACAATCCTGGTTAGGCCAGTGTGGATGCACTATCTATCTACGTGTTAATTTACCTATTCTTTAACAAACGCCTTGACAAAGGTTTCCATGGCAAACTTCTGCGCACGTACGAAGATCTACGTAGATAAAGTGAAATATCATGCACAAATAACAGCACACATGCATTAGCAGATTAGCAAATGATTAGCAAATGAAATTAAAATTAAGCTAACATCATTAAAATGATTACAGTAAGTTGATAGAGAAAATGTTAGAGTAAATACAACACATGCACTAAGTAATGGAATGGCTCTCATACACCTATAGAAACAACAACTTAAAATTATAGAATTCATACATAAAGTGATATTATCAAGCATATACTGGGTTCAACAAAAAAGAAAAAACAAAACAAACAAAAAGAAAAAAAATATGCATAAAATATCAAATGCATTAACAGTGAAAACATGCAAAAGAAGAAATTACTAAGTTGCTGTCTTTGTCTGTTGTTCAGCAATCCACTTTCTTTCTGCTGACTCCTATCACCAGGTCAAATGGGTTCAGAGGACCTGATAATTAAACACCAGCTTGTCTCCCTCCAGGGTAGAGTAGAGTGCAATCAAGGGCAGTCCACGACAC